CTAATTCTTTGCTTTGGTTGCGCTGACACTTAAGACTTTGATATTGTACTTCCGCTATGCGGTATGACCTTCAACATTTTTTGTGAAATAATTTAAGATGATTCGGCGAAGCCATATTAACGATAGCTGCTAAAAATTCAGTCGAGTCTGTTTCAATCATTTGTGAGAATTTGTGTAACGCACCGATATTTCCTTAACTATGTATTTGACTACGCGGAGACTTGAGTCTCCGCAGATTGGAATTCCGGCCGAAGCCAAGGCATTTGGGCTAGCCCAGTAGCTCCTTAGTCTTTCTAGAAGACTACAATCTACAATCTAAGCTTCCTGTCAACGATAAGAACGAGTCCGTAAATTTTTATTAGTAATCATGGTAGAGGTATTGCAAAAACAAATTTATTGCACCGAACATGTTGTTTCGCATTGCTTATTGAAAATGTCAACTCCATTTATGATTTGCAGAACAGACCTAATCACAGAAGGTATAGCTATACACAGGTTTACCTGAGGCCATGATTATTGGAGGTTTCCAAGATGTCAATATAAACACTTTAAACTTAACAAATATAGCTCAAGCAGTGTATTAAGTGAATTCAGTTGATCAGTCATGCTTGCTCCCATTTGGGCTTCCTCTTAATTATAAGAATTTAGCTTATCTTGGTGCTTATCTGCCTTGTTGAAAGAAAAATTACAAATTGTAATGCTTTGATAGTTTGCTTAACTCTTCATTCGATTATGGAAGTACATGCGTCCCAGCAGATTGCACTTCCGCTAAGTGACATGGCGTTCGGACCATGAGAGCAGCTCTAACTCTTCTGTACGTCAGTAACATGTTTTCTGCCATAATACTTAGACTTCTCTTAAAGTCAAGATTACCCGAGGAGCTACAAGGTCATGCGAAACTGATAGCAAAGCTAGTATGCTGATGAGCAAACTTACTGATTTAACTATACCCCACAAATAGCAAAAAAATTGAGTCATTGACGGCATGCTTTCGTAGTTCTAATGCTTAGGTTGCTGATAAAGTGCTTTAGAAGGCATTGTAGCATTTGGGAAGAACAGTTATTTAGTTGTACCACTCGAAATTACCGATAAAAAAAACCAACTTTGCGTTTTATCAGGATTATAAATCTATGTCAGTGTTATGCTGCAAGTGTAGGGAATTAGGCAATATTCATCCTTTGTTATATGCCGTTGAAAACAAACTAAGCAAATGAGTTATCAAGAGAACTGCCGCGGCAATTAAACCGCTGAAATCTCAAGGTCATTCTCGTTTTGAGACCTGCTTATCACGTTATATCGCCTATCACTTTGGTCGTAAAATGAATGAAAATTCTGGAACGGCACATTTGTCTTCTCACCCAGACCTTTTGAATATTGATCGAGAATATGCGGACAACCTCAAAATTCTTCTGGACAATAGCCCGAGTAAAGGTTTAGAGCAGTTAAAGGTGGCATCAATTTGTAACGATGAAAAAAATGATTTAGTCAGTAAAAGTAATGGTATTACACCATCCTCTACAATTTTACCAAAAAAAGGTCCCCCTTTGTTGGTGTTGGAGACGACTGCATCAGAAGACGTGACAGTTCCGGAACGCGACTGCGGGCTTAAGTCGATTCCCGAAGAGGCTGTGTCTTCCTATTACAAAGACGATATAACTAACGGTGTATCTTTTGATCAAGACTCTGTGCGAACCTTTCACACAACCATTTTTCTTGGGAATAATGCCAAACCCTCCAATTCTACTGACCTTGGTAAAGCAGTTAAGGTCTCGACACCTGTTGCGCGCTCGAAGTCTTTTGGAAGAAAAAATATGTCGGCACGTATTCAGTCGCTCCTAGAACATTTTGAATCATCTGACCGCAATTTTGATTCTTCCTCCTCGTTGCCTGAAATACCTCGAAATATCGAAAAGAGACCGGCCAAACAACCTTCCCCTGAAGCATCGATGTCTGAAAATAAGGTATTATTTCCAAACCTGGCCCACTCTTGTCTTACCTACCAGTTATCCCATTTTTCAATTGAATGGAGTGACCGCTTAGAAACTTATTTGGATTTAACCTTAAATTGTATCTTTTAGTCATCAGCAGAAGCATGTTTTGCTTGCAACAAAGTGATTTACCCGCTTGATCGCTATTCGACAGGTTCTCACGTCTACCATAAGAGCTGCCTCAGATGCAGCGTCTGTGACCGAAGCTTATCGTATGTCTTGTTACATATTACAATATCTAAGGCATTCTGGACTCTTATTGCTTAAAATTTATTAATACCAATTCGACAACTATCCGACGTCCAATCTTTGTGTACGCGACATAAGACTAACACAGCTAAAGTGTTTGGCTGCTTTTTTTGTACTCGCATGCATCTATTTTACTTTTTAAATACACTGGTGCCAGAGTTGTTTGACCTGATATTTAGATTGGAATCCTATTTTATTTTGTCAAACGTAACAATTAGTTGTATATTCTAGTTAAAGAGAATTAAATGTGTAGCGTCGTTTAGTATACATGTGTAGAATTTATGTGCTTTTTCATTTAATTTTATGGTCTGTTTTATTCATTGCAACATACTTGTTTTCGGCTTTATTCAGTTGATGAGTTAATTAAGATCAAGGCAAGTTGTGAATTTGCGTTTAAAAAAGACGGTAATGACGGAATTTTCAACCACTTATTCTTTCGTATAGACACGGAGAACTTGTTTTACATATTTTCTGGATCCCATATTTCTTCATTCTTCACTTATCTAATTCCGCCAATTGTTGAGTAATATCGGATAAGGGTTGCAATTTTATGATGCCAACGTAATGAGGAACTATTTTTAAAGCCCTTGATAGGCGCTCACATTTTGATTTCCCCACTACGTTATTGAATTAACATCTCTTTCTCGCTTAATGAATTAACTTTTAGGCTTTACTCAGATTTGATTGGAAAATTGTGTTCTTCGAATTTAATTCGGTTGATTCGCCTGGCACAAATAGTTGTCTTGAGGCAAAACATTTCGTGTCATTTAAGTTCGATTTTACGGGTTCCATGAAACCCAAAAAAGCATCAAAAGTTAAAGGTCTACAAGACGATGATCTGCGACAAAAGCGTTGCTCTATTCTCACAAATACTCAATCAAATGTTCACGTAGATGTAAATTCCCCATAGAACTTGGATTAGTAAAATTCCAATTTTCATCCTAGCTGTGTCAAAAAACCGTAATTCCGAAAACTAGTGCTAGTCGTTTGTAATGTAGCCTTCATTCTCGTCGATAGCAGATTTTATGCTCACTAAATACTGATACTGGGAGAAATTCAGATTTGCAAATCCAATTTTCTGTCCTATTACCACAAAACTGATAATTTTTGACTGCATATATGGTTGTTTTCTGTTTGTGATCTACATTCAGGGGTGTCACCTGTGAGTCTTCGAAGGACAAACTCTTTTGTCGACCTCATTTCCTCGAAAAAGCCCACGGAATTTGTAAGTATGATATTCCTGTTCGCCTTTGATTTATACGACTCCATAAATAACCAGACATAGGATTACCAGTTATTGTATCTGGTAAGAGCAATTGATTACCTCTTTTTACCCCATTTTCCCTAAATCTTGCACCAGTTAAAGTTAATGGCGTCATTACAAAATGAAGTTCATTTTAAAGATTAATCGTTGAGTCAATTAAATGAATAACGATTTCAGTTTTGTCCTGCACATTTGCCTTGTGTAGTTTACTTCTACCTTCTCAACTAAAATGCTTATCAGCCTAGACTGACGGCTTTACGCAACGCCTGAAGTTTTAGCCCATGAGCTGTCAGTTAATACACGGAGGCCTTAACATACGGCCGAAATGACCTCTGCCTTATGTCAATAACTTCCCGTATTGTGTCAGCCAGGAGGTAGCAGCCTGATGACTGAGATCGCACTTGTAGCGCCTGACTCATCGATCAAGTGTCATGTCTTCATGTTATGCGATTGCTTTGCTTGTCTTGATGATGCTTTTTCACAATTGAATTATGGGCCCAAATTACTCGGTACTGTTCGCTTTTGTGTAAATGCCCTTGGTTTCAATGCTGAATGATCATGTGCCATCCTTAGCATGCTCAACCAAAGTGTGCACTGAGATCCAGCATACATATGTGTGTGTGAGATTCACATGATGGTGCATAAATGTGAGATTCTTTACAGATTAAGCAGTTTATTTTGTAAATTTGGTAATTCATAGCCAAAGACTTTCCTCAATTTTTTAATTGTACATTTATTTGGAGCCATTTTTATCAGCTTACCGTTGTAGTTTACTGAGTATTTTTTTAAATATTTTCATTGTCTGAAATCGTTTAGTGGAAAGCTGGGGTTATTATTTTTCGAACATGGTTTTTGGGGCAAATTGTTTGAATTTTACTCCCATATCCATCACAAAATGTTTTTATGCAATAAAAAGTACAACTAAGATCTGAACACTAATTTTATATCCTTGTTATCCTTCATCTTGAGGACTATCCTTGCACCACTTGACCTTCTTTAAGATTTTTTGAAGCCCATCATACTTATTAAACTTTTTATAATTAATTGTTGAATGAAGTGACAAAGACAAGTGACAGTGCCATGGTATCGTCCCTCTCGATGCGATTTCGACCAATTGGGATGCACAGTTGAATGTGCTTGACTGTTGAAAACACTGTTCAACGATTGTAAACGTTTTCGTTGCATAAGAGTAGACTCGCTCCGTACCATCAGCTGGCTGCTTATTTCAAAGTTCAATCACGATACCACATGCACGCACGCATGTGTTCATAACTGTAGCTACCGCGATTTTACCATGGTTGTACATAAATGTGCACTCGAATACCAGCATTTTTCGGGTAGAAGAGTATATACTGTTCTGTGTTGACCGGATGTGATTCGACACAACAGGTAAAACTAGCCTTGAGTGACCCCACCGGAGTTTCTAGGCTTTTCCTGCCAGAAGAATGTCGATTCAGGTGATTAATATTACTTAAGGCGTAATAATTCGCGTGATACAAACTGTACTAAAGGAACAGTAATTTCCTGATTATCCGCGTGCTTTTTTATTAAACTAGGAATAAAACCTAGCCATTTTCATCTTGTTTGAGTTATCGACACATGGGTTTAGAACATGCTGTTATCTATTGTCTAATTATATAAAGGTAATTTATCACTACTTTTTCATCAGGTCGTTAGCCAATAAGTATATTTTTTTACTAAAGGGCTTTCATGATACTAGGAAAGGTCAAGGTTGCGTAATCTTATTAGCTTACTATGGTTTCGAAAATGCATGCACATGCATGGAGGTTTCGTGATTTTAAGCTTCACTTGCGTAAACCTCTACCTTACAAATGGAACATTTTTTGAACTTTGGATCGCTCTTTTCACTTTTGTTCCAAGGTGTATTTATTTTGTACCGCAATCTCTTGAACATCAACTTCTGGTAACAGTAGAAATGAGCCCACTTTTAAGCCTTTGTCCGAATACCGTCAGAATTTTTACTGAACCTGGTTTGTGAGTTTGAAGGGCAAGGGTTAATCATAGGCGTATGTAGTGTTTTAATCCGTCTCTCAAACTAAGGTGTTTAACCACCTTTTCATTTAATTTGAGCATAACTATTAAGGGATTAGTTAAGTTTCGATGGAAACATTGCTGTTTGGTTTTTCTTTCTAGTCAGACTTATTTCATTAAGGTGGGGTTGAAGTTGCACATCTCCGGTTCATTATTCATATCCCAAGTTTCTTCCAATTTTCTAGGTGATAATAGTATGTTAATCTTAACGAACACAAAACTTACAATAATACTACTAATAAAACTTAGTGGCTTAGGACCTTATTGACCTACATGACAACCCCATTGTCAAGGGAGGAGTTTATAAAAAGTGTACTTTTTTGAAAAAATATATTCGACAGAAACTTGCTTTTACGGAAAGAGATAATAGGAAAGTTTATGTTTTATCCCGATAGTCTAGGTTTAAGTAGGATGCCCATCATCACAGTCGTGCACAGTTTGAGAGCTTTGATTTATGAGTGATTTTGCATGTTTCATGTCTGAGAGTTGCGTAAGCATAGGATTTATACAAAAAGAATATTTTCTTTTTCTCATAGTCATGTCGTCGCATTTCGTGGCACCACATGGGATCCTTAATGGTTGCTATATCGACGGCGTGTTTACTCTTTCTCATTCTAGATATGTATGTGTGTGTAGTCATAAGCGTATGCATGAAATTATTGAGTAGTAACTGGCAATTAAGTAAGCAAGGGAGAAGTTGTTTTTGTCAAATCGGTCTTGACAGGTGTTTGACAAACTTTTCGATTGTCCTGTGGTATACCTAATCATGCTTCTCTTTTGTAGTTCGAAGATTGTCAACTCCCGTCACGTTTTCGTGTGAGTCCCAAAATGTGGAGCCTTATTCAATTGCTGTCGAATGTAAGTCTCTTTGACCTAAAAAAAGTACTGGAAGGAAGGTAAAGGCGGTGGTTGTCACTTTTTCATTAGGGAGTACTAAAATTTTTCACATGATCGCCTAATGGATTGAGGAGTTGTAGGTGCCCATCACTTGCGTATAACATCCATCATGTCAAATCGTGCTCTCCCTTTTACTTTTAACACAGATTAAAATAGTGCTATAAATTGAAATTTATATTTAAAAGTAGATGATAAATCTACCTGCTCATACTTCTACTTTTGGTATTTTTAGAAGATATTTAGCCGCCCCCGTGCGCCTTGAAGTTGTGGATGTTCAAACTTCTTGCTTTTGCTCACGTATTTGTTTTTACTTTCATCTGTACTTTTTATACATTTTCATCTATATTATAATATCCTTCTACTTCTGACTTATTCAAAGCCCGTCTTCTGCATTGTAATGTACTCTTTTGAGGGAAGGATTCAAGAAGCGTCCGGCGTTATGATGAGGAACATTTCGAAAGGTTGTTAGAGTCGGTATGCGTCTTGTCTAGAACTGCCAAAGGAAAGAAATAAATGCCTTAGCTCATTGTAGACTTCTCATGATTTGTGTGGTCTAAAACTTGTCAGCGTTGGGTCTTTTTTTAGCTACCTACTTTTTCCGCTAACAAATGAACAAGTGTAAGGCAATCCATGAGAATCGGTGGGATGAGGGTAGCACATTGGATTTGCCAAGGGTTCTTGTTAGTCTATTGCGAAGGACCTTACAAAGTGGCTTTCAATTGTTCCAGAGAGCAGTGCTGATTTTCGCATGGATTTAATGACCGTAATTTGTGAATGCAATTGCACCTAATTCCCTTGACTGAGTAGTGTTGGGAGATTAATTTCTGGATTAGAGATGATTCGTTCGAAGTCGGTTTTGCGTGGTTTAGCACTGAAGAAATATGCATCTAAGGCATTTTTAAGTCTTATACGTAACTCAACACTATTTGTAATAAGCCTATTCCAAAAGTATTTTCTTGTAAACTGTCTACTATTAATTAAATTTTAAGTGTATGCTAGTGAAAGTCACAGGCATCCACGTAATCGTATGTGCTTTACATTGCAAAAGAAATGTATATTAATGTCTCATCTACATGCAGAGTGTTAATTCTGATTACGCTTTTTAAGATAAGGTTCATAAAGTTCGGCATTGGAAATCAGTTAACTGCAGGAAATATTCTGACTGTCTTTCGCTTAAGCTCCATTTTGCCCTACTGAAAGCATTGCAGTAGCAATAATAAAGTTTTGTTGGAATTCATGTTATCGCATTCGGTTACATGCGATATACGTGCCAAATGCGGGTTTAAAACGACTTCTTCTAAATAAGCATAGGTACTGTTGAATCGACTAATTTTATTTGTTTTATTCAATATATAGGGACAGTTCTTGGCGTAAAGCCATTGTTTGGACGTTCATCTGATTTATTTGATGTTTTGATAGCTTGGCTGCACTATTTCATTACGGAACTTTACTGCACCGGGTGTTTCAGTTATAAACTACGCCTAAAATCAAAATTAGGAATCAAAATGTTCCTCTTGCAAATACATGAAATTCCCACAACTACATCACATACTTAAGGAAATCACCATAAAATAATACGACAATAATTGAATAGTTAAATCCAGTTTATGCTTAACGGATCCATCGCTTCCTTACAGTTTATTTTGTTGATGTGTTTTTCAAGGGTTTGTGCCGCTTTGGATGCGTGGAAAAGCCTTATTAATCCCCACACTTCAACAGGGATGGTAGTGATAGTCAGCAGAATATGATTTAAGCAAATGAGAATGTCAAATATTAGTGAAAAATTACTTAGCAAGTACTTTTTATTTTTGGTCGAATAAGCATTTGGAATCATTTTATTGAACAGTAAAGGGAACTAGGCTTAAACATTATTACTACTCCTAATAATGAGAAATCATTAGGAAATCATTCCCTTTTTGCTACCAAAGCTGTTTAGCCAGCAAATTTTTAACTTTATTGAAGGAAAATTTGTCTTGGAAAAGCCTGGCACTGCTGTAGATGGATTTTAATGGAATACTGGATTGTAATTCTCATAGGTGGCGTTAAATGCTGTCACACATTCATGATCATCAGCAAATGGTTTCCTTTTGGAGATCCTGAAAGAAAATTTCAATAACAAGGCTTTACGTTACCAATACTGGCAACCGATGCCTACCTGTCTCCTTCATTTAAACACATTTCTACACATTTGTTTTACATCAGACTCCGTGTGTGTGTGGCTAATCCTTGTCAGTAAAAAGTGAAATGACGCCATTCTGCCAAGTCCTTTACTTTCGATCTACTCTGGCTCATGCCAAAGCACTAGTCTTGAGTAAATTTACTCATTATATTCGGTACCTTCCTAATTGTCTTAAATTTAATTACCCCGAATTTAATTACCAACGCAATTAATAGTGGGGGTTTTGGGCTCTCGTTTGCGCATATGCGAGGAATCAGTTAAAAGAATGGGGGGATCATTGGCTGCATGATCTCACCGTTTAGCTAATTGACTACTCAGTGCAGTTGGCACACGGTGACACCCAATTAATCTACTGACTTGCCCTTAGTGTGCGTGTGTGTGCGACTAGATTACACCGAAAAGCAAGCAAATTAATATCGGTTGCTGCATCATTACTAACTTGCTTTACTCACCAAACACTTAATCAGTAATACCTATAATGTATCCACAAGAAGGATTTAATCCAAACGTCTTCAAGTATTTTGCGAAATATTACTCATCCATGCAATTGCGTGGAGTTTTCAAAAGTACACTCTTCAAAAGGATTAATTATTTTTGCTTTATATTCAGCATTCATTTTAAGTAAATTAAGCCATTGCTGGTCAAGCAGAATTTGCCATTTACAAAGTACGTTCCGCCTTCCACAGAAATTGCACAATATTTCACCTCTGGAATATAGAATGAAAACGGTGAATTGTGCCCTGCTTTCCCGCCACAAAGCATTACTAAACGCATATCACAACTATTACTCAAGGTATTACGAGAATACGGTAATAGTGCTTACGCATCACTTTTTTGGAAACACCAAAACGCGTTTTCCTACTTGTATGGAGAGGTGGAAGTAATCTAAGGAATCGATTTCGGCGGTGCTCTTTGTGCTCCAAAGTGTTTCACCTAGGGAGAGAGATCACTCGCGATATTTGCATTCCCATCGATATGATTCCGGACAACAAGACCAGGAATGAATTAACCCTTCTAAAACGGTGGAGCTAAAGACGATATCATGCGCACTCTTAAGCAGAATAAAGTCAATAACTCGTTTGGTTATTAAACAAGTTTGTGACACCTAAAGACGCCTTTAATTTCATGATTTGTTTTGTTAATTTTAAGCTCTTAAAACCATAAAACAACGAAGTGGTTAATCAAATGATAAGAAGCGTTATTTATCTTACTTTGAAGAGTTCTAAAAACTCATGTATACTACAAAAATCTTTCGAAAATCAACTTTTTCCCAGTGCTGTTGTTTCATTCTTCTCATTTTTTGTATCAAAGCCTTTTTACTAGTTGCGTAAGGTGTACTTAAGGTTTTCACAGTCAGGCAAAATAATACTCCTTGGGAGTAAAAAACTGTGGAATATTGAGTTATAAGACTGGAAATTAAGATCACTGGTATGTTTGTGTGATTAGAATGGAATTAGCATTCTCAAGATAAGTCAAACCATTTCCCCGTAAAAGGAACTTCTAAAATGGGTTTTTTCAAACCACACCACTAGAAAACCATATTAGTATCAAAATAATTTTACATTTTTATGCAGACTATTAATTCATTGGTTAAAACGAAGAATTTAATATGGTGATTTAATTTAAGCAATAAATGCAGCATATTGTCAATCATGGGCATTTAAAGCTACTGACAGGGGGTTGGAAATTCATGAAACCACCCTTGCTTTCTGATCACTAGAATGGGATGGCTTCTTTACGAAGACTCACAACACATACAGATTTGGTGTCACTCTTCTTCATATCAGGGTCGTTAAGAAAGTAGTGTATTCCTGCTCAAAGTCGCCCATCGTCTTGAAGCAAATGTTGCGTAACAGCTCACCTTCTGTGAGAGAAGAACTTGCCTGCCTCATATCCACTGGAGTAGGGCCCACCTTTGCACACCCGCACACAGGCACGTGCGCACTCGTGTGCAAGAGTAGGTGAGCTCAGAGTGACAATTGGAGCAGAGATTTGGTTGGTTCAGGACTATACAAACGAGTTGGAGCCACCGATACCCAACATTCAGAGCCACGCCGGTCGTTGCAGGAATACACTACCATTGGGATGAGCAACAACGAGCGATTTGAATGGAAGTTGAACGATTTTGATATGGGAATCAAGGACATTGTGATTGAAGCCCTTTCCATCAACGATGACAAACTAAGAATTGCTGAGCATATTAAAGAGCACGCGGATTTGCTCTACGGAGGACCGCATCATTGCATAGTTGGCAAAGATTTTTGCGGGTGAGAAGGGGCATACAAATATTTTTTGACTTGTCCTATCAGTTCATCAAGCTCCTTCGTATTTCAGCGTTGGCACTCAGGAAAAGTGGATGCAATGTCGTATGGGAGACTTGAAGGTCTATCTCTACAAGTCTCCACGATGGTCTTCGTAAGATGAGGCGCTCTCTAACCTATTGTATATTCTGTCACTCCTTTGCCGCCTATAAACAGCGATATCCGCAGTCGATGTCATATTATTAACGACTTGAATTTTAATAAAACGAGTACCCTGGACTTACAGCAAAGTTTTACTATCTGCAAAAGTTCCCATTACTCGGTTTTAATTCGATCATAGCTAATCTGTGAATATAGTGATACCGCATTTAGTGTTCGAGGAGTTTTCGTAATAGCTCTGTGAACTTGACTACGAACAAAATAGTGATAAAAAATAGTATTTCTTACGGTGATACGCCACTCATTCATAAAATTTAGTATTAATGTAGTTGTCATTTGCTAAAGGAGCTTGATTTAATGAAAAATTACAAAGCAGAATACATGATTACTCAAATTATTCACATTTCGGACAGGAGCACAAAGTCTAAACCGAAAGGTGAGTTATTTTGTAAATCCAGATGTGGTAAATGGGGTCAACTACGGGTTTGCAATATGTATTTGCTGTGTGAGAAGCGACACTGACTGATGCATAACAGAAACAATATAAAAGACTAATTTCATTGGAGAAATTAAATTCGGTCATTTGTTTCTATTGTGAGATTCTGTAGCACCTCATCAATACACTAAACGATTTTATTTCTTAAAAACATAATTCTCTTCAAAAAAATAAAGTAGCTGCTAAAATAGGAATGTAAGGCTCTTATAACGCAATAATTTCTTCAAAGTGCAAATATTCAAATCAAAGGAACCCCACCTAAAAATTCCCATTCAATTGAAAATTCACGCCTCAAAAAGCAATCGGGACATTGAGACCAGGCTTTAAGGTATAGAGAGTAGAAATTATTTAAACTGCAATAATTTAATGCATTTGATTGCAATTTGTAAGCGAAATCAGAGGGAACAGCGTAATCTCATGTGTAAGAGGAGATATCCTTATTCTAAAAAAAAAACAAAGACAAGTCGCTTAAAAGTTATCACAATCTGGCATGCCATAGCACTTATTTGAGTTTAAATGATCCCAAATTGTGGGACATATCGAGCTTGATTTGTCGTGCCTATGGATGGGTAGTTTATGAAATCATATGCCTTTGTAATTACATCTGCTTCTGTGCTAACTAAATAGGCCAAACTCTTGTGAAATAAAGCATATGTATGATCTGGAAATAAATACAATTGAGATAATAAAGTGCGAAGCCGGAGCCCTGTAATTCCCCCTAATTTTAGGTCCAGTCATGCGACTACTCAAGCTGGTCGATTTCTACTAGGATACTAGGAGATTTCTATTAGGCATTCTACTCACTTTTATGTAGCAAAATCTGCGTTTAGCATTTTAAAAACAGGTGAGATATGTGCGTTTACTACCCTAATTCTTTAGTTATTACGACAAAGGATATTACACAATTTGGTAATTAGTATGCATTATTTTCAGGAGATTGTGAGCTCGGAAATCCCCGTAGTAAAATACCCTCAGACATCCCTTGCATTTATTTTGTAGAATAAAAGGTTAATTCACCGAAACATTTTATTGCAAAATGATTTATGCTAACGGCGCTTCTCTCCCGTGAGCAGCTTCTGTGGTAAATTAACTTTAAATGACTTTTTTAGAAGATCTAGTACAAACGTGACGTAGGGGTGTGTACCGTCGGGTGGAATCTCTGCTAAGATGAAGCCAGGGATGATGAACCCGTATACCATTTAAATATGCTGTCATGGTTAAGCAAGCAGTTTAAAAAAGATTAAGTTAAGATTAAAGTAAGAACTGTTAATTTAGTACACATTTTAAAACTGATATTTAAGGAGCATTTCAAGAAATTAACTAATAATCATTTTTCTACCATCGAATGGCAGTATTGACCGTAGAATAGGTTAATCTGGTTAAGTGCAAAAATGATATTTTTGTTTATTTTCAGTGTTTAGGAAAATTACTAAATCTTCCCGATAATGTCCCACTTTCCAAAATACTAAAATACTTGGATTTTTATTGATGTACGATACACTTTAAACTGATTAAATCATTAAAATACAAATTGAAACTAAGCCAATCGCATTTCTGCACATTTGTCGCTCCTTACTTCAAATTTTGTGCTTATTTTAAAGCTTTATTCAGTCGTTCATATTTTTCTTAAGACTAAGCTTATTATTGCCAAAATCAGGATGTGAGTAAAAGTCCCTTACAATGTCATTATGCTATAGGTGTTTTCAAAGGCTTTTATTTGAATAAGAAATAATAACAGGGTTTGTCTTTGAGTCGAACTGGATCGCTTCTCATACGGTGTAGCTTTATTTCACCTGCTCGTACTGATAGACGAGGAATTGTATGTCTCGTAGAATCAGATGAGCCATGAATCCCGGAGTGAAAGTAAAGTAACTAAAAGGATAATCGACAGTAAATAGCAGTTGGTAAAGCGTTTGGTAGGTAAAAACAGCATATCAATAACCGGCTTTAATCTCCACTAACCTTGCAAAGTGTCGACCAACAATGACATGCCAGTGCCCTCCCAGTTTGTTGTTCAGATCAATACGGATGCTTTTGGCCATCTCATCCTCAGTGCAGTAGAGCAGATCGGCTTTGTGTACGGATTGGAGGATAATTCTCCGCTTATAATCATCGACATCGGCCGTTTTGAAGTGGGGCTTTGCACATTGAGGGTTCGTGATGGCTGTCTGCATGGCGATGAATGTAACAGTGCCTTCAATAGGCCTAAAGTAATGCTCACCGCACTTGTCTTGATTAGCTCCTCTTCCACCAATGATGTTCGTGGTGCTGCTGTAGGTGCGTGCACGCACCCACTTTATTGATCAGACAGCACGCACACAGTGTGACAAAAAGATTGCCTGATTCATGCCATTTAAAGAAAGCAAAGTGAGCTTTATCTAATAAGGTGAATGCAATTATACCTATTGTGAAACATCGTAATTTACTACTCGGTGCCAAGTGAGCCTCCCATTGTGAAATTTCGCCACATGCTCTCCAATTCCCGCTAGTAGAAGGAGCATTGAAAGTAGGCAGGAGTAACTTTTCACGCTAAAGAAGGAAAGGGACTTACAAATTTGCCCAAAATCGTTGCAAGGGTCAGTAGGATTTGATAGTATTTTGTTGTAAGTAGAAATAAGTCCACAGAAGGTACGGGTTCCAGTCAAAACGATGACCGATTTTGAAGAGACATAAATGTAACGTGTTGAAAACTTCCTTACTCGTTTATTTACTGTTAAATTTAAGGCGTATTCGGGTTTTAAAATATTCCATAACTCATATTCACACATACTAATGAGTCAATACAAAATATGGTTTGAGAAATCTAAGTTTATTTAAAAAGATTGATTATACCTAACTTGTTCAGAACCTACGCCATTGTCTGACGCAAGTGCTATTTACACAACTGATGCAGATTGAGATGAAAATATCTTAGGCAGCATAATAAAAGAAAGGAACCCTTGCTTGATGAGAAACCCACTAAGAGCAAAACAATATGTCATTGCATTTACTCTCAGAGCATTAAAATTACAAATACAAATTTGATGATTAACTTAAGACCTAAAAGTTATTACTCTCAATCCGAATGTCCTTTCTAGTCATGTATATATGCTAGAATACCACTGTAATACTTTGATTGTTTCTTTAACTCCCCGTTTCGGTAACGGACCACTTGGAGGCTCTGCCGTTGTACATTGACCAGGTGGCCTGGCCTTTGGACTATGCCAGTAGCCTTAAGCCTTGCTTTGCATCAATAATACACCTTCGAATCAAGTATTGTGTCTTATCTCTTCTTCAGGGAAGGCTCGAGGTGCTACAACCACCTAAAGTTGTGCTCAAAAGACCCATTATACTTAGAAGTATTTAATTTACTAAAATAAATTTCAATGTGCGTTCATAACTTGGTTTCACAAAATTAATCGTTGAAAAAAAGTATGAAAAAGTCCGTCAAGTTTAGCTTGTACGGTTTTGTAACTCACAAAATATATTTTTTATTCACTTTTACCATTTAATTTTGGCATTATTCAGGCATGGCTCCTCTGCTAAAGTTCTCATTGCTGACTCCCATTTCAAGTTATAACTACCAACGAACAAACTTTCGCATGGAGTGCCTACCTCCATTTAGTGTAGTATTTACGTTACTGATTGCTCTCAACTATTGGAATTGTCCTAATTATTTTAAAAATTCAAATCAAATGAAAATATAGGGAGGTAAGCAGCAGGTACCGAATAACTTTTTCTCGTTCGTGAAATACTAATTGCAAAGATACATTAACCGAATTTTGCGCTAATCAACTTTTCATAATATGTCGATTGCACGATTTCCACTACGATTTTGAAGTGTCTTACCATATTCGGTGGAATGATTGATTTAGCAGAAAGTTTAATCATTAATAATTACATCATAATTCTGGTATCAAAAGTTTTCAAAGAGCGGGATTTTTGGAAAAACCAGCCAAATTGCTAAGGGCATTTTCGATTCATGGCCAATTTCTTGGGCTTTCTAATTAAAATTTCTTTTTCTAATAATAAGCTATTGTAGATACCCCTTTTTGCTACAAAAGAGATAGTAAAATTTACTCGAAAATGGCTTTACTCAAACATTTGCATTACGTTTGTTCTATTAGTAATAGAAGCTCCGTTTTGGAGCTAGATTACTAACGAATGTTGCAAAAATTCTTATTAAAAGCTCAGTTCCAGTATATTTAAACAGAGTCTAAACTAAAAGGAAAAGCTTTTAATATTATGCGTTCCTTTACCTTAATCAATGTCGTCACAAAGTTGATTACTGCAAGAACTACCCTTAAATGTGCCTTTAACCGACAATGAGTTACTTCGCATTCGCCACTAGAGTAAATCTGATGTCTAGTAATTACCGAATTATTAAAACCAAATGTCAATTTTGATTGCTTGCTCTTCATCTTCAAGACGTGTTATGAGAGGCAATTTTTTGTAAGATTCCACTTTTCCCATTCCCTTTTTCAACCTTTATAACATTACTGAGCGGCACATCGTCGTATTCAGCATAAAAAGAGTGCCGATGGACACATAATAAGTTTCTCAACAAAATTAGCGTCGACAACAAAGAAAAATAGCTCGGATTTCATGAGAGCACGAAACTGTAGACTTGTGTGATGTTTTTTAATCCTCTGCTGGAAGAGGCTCAAAGAAGTGCATCGCAGTAAAATGCAAAATTTCTCATTAAATACGGTGTTGTGACTCCTCTATAAAACTGCTTTTGCCATAATTTGAGTCAGATCTTTTGATTAGTGTGATTTTAGCAAAAATAAACTTTTAATGCTGCAGTTAAGTGTAAATACTTTTCGTTTACTTTACCTTGTAGTTCTTTTACCAGCAATGAGTTAAAATTTTCCCAGAATGGAATTTAGTAGGACCTAGACGATCACGTTAGCACAAATATTGTTGCCGGCTTTTTCCGATTTGAGTACAACTCGTCAATATTCTCTAAATTTCATTTTCGGGAGCCCACTTCTATTCAAAATGGTTATTACTACAAAGAATCGAATCAACCTACTTGTGATAGCTATTATTCTATTTTGACACCAACCTACCTCATAACCTTCTTAGCGTTAAATGGCATAATTCATGTTAATACTACTTTCGTCAAAGCCTCAAAACAAATTGATAATGCTACTAAGATGCTCTTAACTTACTGTGTGCAGCAACGATCGCTGGCTCTCTGTCATTATTTTCAGTCCTAAGGCGAAGGTAATTTAATACAAAAAGACATTTTATGAATTTAAAGAATAACACTTCAAACGTGCAATATTTTTATCTGAAATTGCAGTTTTACTTTTCTTGCTGCTTGTTTTTGCCATATTCGTTTTAAAATTATTACATATCACGTTTCGCATTTATGGCTTGATAAGTCTATATGTAAACAGATACTATTGCTAGTTTGATTCATTATGGACATAGGCTACGAAATATCCAAGTATCATTGCTTCAGTAAATTCTTCATTTAAACCGCCCTTCTCTAAGCTGCCACCTAGGGGCTAAGATTGTCGTCTAAGATCTTATGTGCTGCAGTTTCGTAAAAGCCATTAATGACTTTGTGTGAAACACCTTAAACGTCATTTACTACCTTGGAAAAACTGGTGTGTAATCTCAGCTGTAACAAGAAAAGCCTATTAATGTCACTTCACGACTTTGTCAACTGCTACTTGGTTTAGATCATAACTGCCAAATAATGCAACAAATCGCCAATTTTATAAACCACTTCTGCTCAGAAAAAAGGTATATATTTCCTGTTAAAATGCGTTTTTGGGTGTAAAAGTCCAAACAAAATGATGCTGTTGTATTTTTTAGGAAACTTATTGTTAATCTTCATTCTTTTAATAACGAAATAGGTCAATAAGTAGAATTGTGAGAACGTTTAGTAAATCATATCTTTTTACCCAAATTTAAGGTAAAAGACATGAGAGAGATGTTATAAGCAAAGTTCAAATGCACAAATTGATAGAAACACTTTATATTCCGGAAGGAGCACTTTAAAACATCCGTTATAAAATGCTATAAATATTTGTACACAAGAACACAGATATTGCTCATTTCCGCGTAGAAGTAGGTATTCGCCTCGTAAGGAAAGGAACTAAAAGACAAAATGAACCAGTGACTGAAAATGAAGAAAAAAATACAGCTTTTAGTTGTGGTTCATGGTTTGTTTACCTGCCAAAAAAGTCGCCAACATGGCAGTGCCAATTACCACCGTAGCGGCTATCGCACTCACTTTTCACAGTGCTGGCTATCGCCCGTATGTTCGACAATCCTGATGTTCGGGCTGCATCGGCGACAATCTGTTCCATATCCTGTCGCCTATCATCTGTCATGTCCGTCTGGATGTTGATGATTCGCTCATCGCCCATAGTGAAGGCGATTAGGGTTGATTTGCAGGGAGAGAGTCAGGAAAGCGGTGTTATGCGGAATAGTTCCTATGAGAGAAAGAGCTGCAGAAAAGGAGAGGTGGTTGAGAGGCGTGATGCAGCCTAGCTCACACCAACCATAGCGCGGTTTCATCGGTGCACGTGACGTTCACGGCTGCGCCAGTGCATTTAAAACCGCCGGTTTTATTTGTCGAGGCAACGGATTAGCCATGGGATATCCTTCACATTGGCTGAAAGTTATAACAACTTTCCAGCAAGAGGATCTGTTTAAAATGACAAGTTTCGAATATCAAATTATAAGTTGCTGCAAATAAATAGGATTTGGGGTTAATTGCTTCGCGGAGGTGAAAAAGTGACGAACTGTATATAATAGTACTTCGGCAGAAGCATACGAAAATTGACAGGGATGGCTAACTCATAGCCATTCCATACTCCAGCAAAATTTTGTGGATATGGCACAATCGCTCCATTACTCATTATTTGCCAAGCTACTTTACCCAATGAAACACTTTAAAGTCCCAAACTTTGAAGAGGTTGCGTTATTTAAAAACAAAGAAGAGAGTTATTGACTGGACGCCCCTTGTGTTGCGTACAAAATTTGTTCATAGCAAAAGCTGTTGGTAATTATTAAAAAATGTTGATTAAGGTTTTTATGCTTCCAGTTTTTAACTTTATATCACCCTAAACACATCTACCGTCACACCTGGAAAAGTGCGTGAATAAAAATGATAGCGCGCCAATTACTAACCGTCTCAAAACATATCAGTCGGAAATCGATTCCCCAAAACTTTTATTCCTCCTTTAATCTTCAAAGTACTTGTGGTGCAAACACGTGTATACTTTTATGCCCCCGTGATTAATGCATGACTTTAAAAATCGTCTAAATGTCATAATTTAGTTTATTTTGTCTCCCCTTTGAAGAGGCTTATTTCCTTCCAAACTGTTCGTTTCCAATTTTTTGGACAGTTTCCATCTTTTCAGTTTCTCCAGTAACACTTGGAAAATATTACTATACAAAAATTGATGTACTATTAGAATGTCATTGAATTAAGAATAATACCTTTCTCGAGCTTGGGTAAATGGATTGTAAACTCTTAATGCTGATCTGGAAGGGTCAGGCTAGCATCGAGACCTGGCGTGAGGAACCAATCAGCCAGCTCAACTTTGAGTAATTAGAGTGCGTTCATCGCACCAGCAAATGAACCACTCATCATAAAGTATTGTTAAGAGCCGCACAATCGAGTAGGCTTGTCGTCTTTCGATTGCACACTAACAAGCGTATACATCTGGGTTCAGTCAATCCCGTTGAGAGAGAGCACTTTCAACCATGAGTAGCCATCACCGTCAACGCTACCACAACAGAAGGGGTCCAGAAGATCCATGTGAAGTACGAGCCAAGTTCGTGACCAAGGATCTCCACGAGAAGAATGAGACTCGATTCCTAGAGGTAGTTCAAACAGCGTGTCAAATCCACGATAATCTGGTTGATTTGAGCACTTCCATTAAGCAGACCATGGACGAGACATACGGACCGACGTGGCATGTCGTGGTAGGACCAAACTTTGCCAGGTAGGCACGAATCTATTTATTAAGGCCCTCCCATTTTCTACTGCCTGCTGCACACTAACATTTTAATCTTTTTTTCCACCCTTGCAGTCATATTATGCACGAGAAGAGAGCTTTCGCCCATATCAAGTGCAACAACCTCTCGTTTCTCATCTACAAATATGGCTGAATCCCAAATGCTTACTGCTGGCTGAGATTGAGAATACTTCCTGCTGTGAACTGATATTATACGTATTTGATAAATATTTATCTGTCAATCTAGATACTATCTTCAGCTTGTATTTGAAAATTTTTAAGGGACATAAAATATTCTGTCCCAGATCTGATGGATACTTAGCCTTCTCGATCTATAAAAGCTACTCAAAAGAGTGTGCGAAATCTACTTAAGAATATTAATATAGCTAGCGAAAAAAATTGGACAAATGATGTGTTAATAATTATCTTGGAAAACATCAGTTATTATTTTGGATAGGAGTTATTTCCTAACCAACCATCAAGTCAAAAACATCACTCATCTTAAATTCTAAGGAACAGACGTAGAAGAGCTTTCCTTCAAATCACTTAATAATCAGCCAAAGAACCCATTTTTTGTTTAGCTATATTCAGTGCTTTGTCAGGGGTCAGAGAGGTAGTCCTCACTTGTTTGGTACTTCTTGCATCGCTCCAATCCAATTTGCACACAGATATTTTAATTGACTATTTGTTAAGGTGCTACACCAGATCACCCAAAAATCTTCCTTAAAATATTAGTCGATTGAATGTTTCGGTCACAACTCTTGGATAGTTTAGCATAATTGTACAAATTAAGGGCCAAATCGAGTAAGATCAAGCTCTGAGAAACACTACCATAGTCTGTGGGAATTCTTAAGGGGATCCACAATTAAGGCTTTAGTAAGGGTTGCCAGTCATGGTGTAGGTAACGCAGTTTTACTAAGCTCCGGTTAATGTTATTAGAGTTAAGTACCTCTAGGACTTGAAAGATATGGTTTGTTACAGAAAAATTTTTGGACTCGCTTAATATCGACACATTGAGCTATGCTAAGTATCACAATGACGCATTGGACGTTACGTGTTTTCTTTCGGCTTTGAAGTAGTCATAGTTTTTTCTACTACACAAGAGTTATAAAATGCCTTATCTCTCATTTACTTACATTTACGCGAAATATTTGTAAAGTCTCACCATTTACAATTCGTCATACTTTATCACGTGCTTTCATTTTAAAGGTAGAAAGTTGCGTCAGCCTATACCAAGTACCAGCTCATTTCGCATTTTCAGAACCATAACGAGGTCCATCTCGTGCTTCATTGCTGACTTCAAATTCACATCAATTTCTTAATGTTCAAAGTTATAAATTAAAATTGCGAACTTCTACTTCATTATCACTTGTACATAGTCTTGTCCCCATAAATGGTTCATTATAATAGGACCCACAAAATCAGTGTCTTCTCGTTTACTTACTTCTTTTTCAGTGTCACCGCCTTAGCCCAAGAACTATCGTTTATTTCGTCTATAAAAACGTTGAATTTACTTCCAAATAAAACATTACCTAACTTTTTGCACTTGTGCTTATATAAGGTATTTGCATCCTATTCATCCCAAAAATATTGGATTCCCCAATAGTTTTACGCACAAATCTAGGTAGGTATTTAGCTATGTAACTCCAAAGTCATGACTTTGTAAAGTGCTCAGAAGAGCACTTTGGAAAGTATCTCTATGCAATTTTGATGAAAGATTATATAAACAACCATTTTGTTTTAATAATTCCCTAAATAAAGAAAACCACTGTAATGTCCACATTTCGATAAGGTTGGGAGAGACCACCAATGGTTCTTAAACAATCTATTGAATAAAAATAAACACGAGGAGATTAATGATATCGAGGCATACATTGCTTTCAACAAAACACAGAGCAAACAAAATTCAGATGTTCTTTAGTTAGCCCAAACGATACATTAGAATGGTAAGGTCCCCATATCTCGCTTGGATGTAGCCTCCTGGACAGTAACTCATGAAACTAAAGTGGAAAATTATAGTGACTTGATAAACCAGAAAATTAAGATAAGTATATCAGTGGACAGCCAAAGAGACATCTTACGCAGCGTAGTCGGTACCAACAACGACATGCCAGTGTCGTCCAATATCCTCGTCCAACATATCCTTTAATCTGGATGCCATTTCCTTGGGCTCTTTTTGTGATTTTATAGTAATTTCGCGGATTTTGCCTATTATTTCGGATCGATTTGGATTCCGAAAATCCGCCCGCTCCACCAAAAACACCTTTGGGGTACCCTCCATATCCTGAGCGTTTTTTGGGGTAGAAGAGGTTGTATGACCGTCACTCTCTTAATTACAGTGAAATGAGTCCTCCTTCTGGTGCTTACTTAGGCAGTGGAAAAATTTGCGCATTTCATTCAACTCATGTGTGTCGTTTCAACCAATCAGACTGGCGCGTGTAGTGCGCAAAAGCCATCATGTCTACTGCTAAACGGTATGATAATATTCTGGTGCTGTAAAGTCTTATTCGTTGAAACCATTCGCGGTGTTCCCATGATTGAATTACTGGGAAAGACAATGAATTGAAGTTTGGTTAAACATGGGAATTGGTGTACAGCTTCGTTTTGCACGAAGCCACAGTGTTCTATTACCCCACTCAAGAAACCATGGACCGTAGATTTTATTTGACGCATCTCTTTGTTTTTCTTTTGTCGTAAAAGAGCAGCGACTTATCAGCTTACAGTAATTAGGCAAACATTTTGTTCTAAACAGCTGAAGGATTGACTCACTGTTTGGTTTTGGATTAACTAGAGCACACATCTTTGCTTTTAATATGGATACACGCTAAAAAGGCTGTATTGAACCATAAGACTTGAGGAATTGTTCGTTTTTAGCTGTTTTATTTTTATTTTAAGCATGCTTTGTTCGAATTTTACCGAATGCTCGCCAATTTTCTAGCCGAGAGGTTTAAATCGGTGTATGGTGCTGATCAATTAATTAATTACCAACAAAGAAAAGATCATAAATTAAAAACTACTTCTTTCCCTATTTAGAGTAAATGTGTGAAATTTCCTGTTCAAATTACCATCCTAGCTGCAAATTTTATTTCCTTCAGTTTATGGTGCTATTAAAACGTGAAAATTAATGCAAGCAATTTGTAGAAGTTGTAATATTTTTATTGTTTGCTTAACACTCGGCTTTCGTTCCTCGAACGCTTAAAGCTTAGCCATTATATTTCTACTGGGCGCCAAGATCTCCAGGCCATGATGGCAACCTCCCCCGTCTTCAAACCCTTCTGTACGTCAAAAATACATTTTTCTTCCTAGTATTACGCCTTCTTTCGACTTGAAGCGCTAAAGGAATTTGAAAAAAAAATGACTTTCATTTTGAAGTTGTCCATCTTTTCAATTAAAGCTTTTGAAAACAATAATTGCTTTCAAAATCTTTTAGAACATAGCCCTTCATCATTTTTTGTTATCCCACTTGATCAAAAAATTAGAAGGCTTCATGTGATCCAGGGAGACTTAAAAGTCCATTCGATGGGGACGCTTTGTAGCAGATTACCTTTTGATGGGGTTCGCAATACTGATATTGATATCTAATGTAGTGCTCGGATTATTTTTTAACTTTTAGTTTTGGTTTTGAGGGCACTTAAGTAGCAGTTTTTGTACTAGCGCTGGACGGCATGGCCTCCGGGCTACGCGAGCAACCTCTTAGGACTTCTGTAGATAGGTAATGCGTTTTCTGTCGGGGTGGTATGTCCTCTTTCGTCCTCAGGGAAGTCTAAATGCGCCGCATCAAACGTCAGGTAAAGCGTACATATAAGACATTAAGCAATTTGCTATTGCACGTGTAAATGCGAAAAAACTATCATAAGGCAACAATCTGGAAACGTGCAAAATTCACACCATTTAGAATGTATGAAATGCAAATTTAATTTGGCACATTATCCGACCTCATTATCCTAAGTTAATCAGCAAACTATGCATAGTAGACCATGGCAACAGAAGACCCCTAATTTAATAACTGCTAGACTGTAAAGTTGTCGACTAATTAAGTTTTAACTTAAAAAAAGGCCTTTAAAACAATCCAAAGTACGCACTTCGACATCGGAAATGGTGGTTATTTTTCGTTGAAAATGCTATTAACCATTTTGCATGTTGATTGCCTTCAAATTTGTAAACAGAGGGTCTGTAAACAACTCTACTTGATGCACCCAAGAAAATTAAATGATCAGCAAAGTGACTTTGTTCTCTTGATTATTAATAACCGATCTCCCATGATCTCTGGGCGGGTGTGTGCAGAGATGAGTGCAATGGTTGATTCAGTCTTTCATTGCCTTGAGTCATGGCTGACGCAACGGGAGATAGGTTTTTAATTAGCCTAAATAAATATTACAAAAGCTAGAAACCTTCAGATTTTTATTTATTATGTTATTCGCCTTTAGAATTGGTTGTTTTGATGGAATCTTGGGGCCATTCATTTACTGAAGCAAGTACAGCATTTGCTTTACCCATATTTTTTCCACAAAATCAAACATTAAAGGGAATTGGAGGAGTTAAATGCGTAAATTCTAAGGTTCTGCGATTTGTTTGATTTTGGCTTAAGTAGTTCTAATGAATTCGTGTTTATTCTCCATGTCTTGACCATCTTATCTCGCGTTAAATTTTATGTTAACTGTCACAATCGACTTCAAGGTATTCATTATTAAAATTTGTGATAGACAGATAAAAAGGATGCATTTTGTTTATGCTTTCAAGCCTCTTTTGAATAACGAAGTGCAGGGCGTGTCATTGAGACTGCAGCGCATTACAAATCGAATCAAATGGAAATTTGAGAACTTCAATATCAAAGTACTTGTTAAAAGTTTCACGGTTTGATGTCTAATTGCCTTTCCGTACAAAGATTTGTATAACTGTATAATTTGTATAATTGACGACATTTTGTGCTGTTAGTTTACGAATTTACATATTCTAATATATTTCACTGATGTCAATAAGGTTATCAAGGGCAGCAAGCTCTGTGCCACGGACATTGAGCATAAGTAAAGGATTCACCAGTATTTTGTCAGCTTCAGGACTTTAAAAATGATAACACGGCAGCTGACAAAATAAAGAAATGCTTATCTACAAGTTGACGACAAGTGTATTTATCTCCTGGCCTAAGTTATCTTCCAGGCATTTATGGTCATGTTCTTTGCTTCTGTTAACTTTATAAGTCGTGTTGGAAGA